GCCATTGCACTCCAGCCTGGGTAACAAGAGCGAAAGTCCGTCAAAAAAAAAAAAAAAAAGAAAGAGAACCTTGAATGGCATAGAAAGTGTTATGACCCTGAACAAATAACAACAAAATTCCATATATAAAGCAACTTTGGTTTTGGTTAACAAGGGAGGAGCTGACATGGAAAATCCCCCTTTCTACTTCAAACACAGAGAAATGCTGATAAAATAAGCAAATGTCAAAATTATATTACTAAGTTCCAAATAAAACAAACACAGCACTTTGGGAGGCCAAAGTGGACAGATCACTTGAGGTCAAGAGTTCGAGACCAGCCTGGCCAACATAGTGGAATGCCATCTATAGTAAAAATACAAAAATTAGCTGGGCATGGTGGCAGGCACCTGGAGTCCTAGCTACTCGGGAGGCTGAGGCAGGATAATCACTCGAACCCGGGAGGCGGAGGTTGCAGTGAGCTGAGATTGCGCCACTGTACTCTAGCCTTGGTGACAGATCGAGACTCCATCTCAAAAAACAAACAAACAAAAACAAAATAAAACTAACAAACAAAGGAAATTCACTGATGCCAAAACCAAAGAGGAAACACAGTGTGAGTGACCCGGCAGGAGCTGAAGCTAAGCGACCTGGGGGAGTGGAACCAGAGGTGCATGCAGGTGAAAGTCACACCACAATGGGGCCTGGCCATCCAGGGGAGCACAGGGTACCTGGCCACATTCCAGCAAAAGTGGGAAAGGAGTGACCTGCATCAAACCAGACCCACAAAGAGCTGCTCCATCCATCAACTAGACACCAGAAAAACTCCACCCACTGGCCCAGGGAAGGGAAAAGGAATCTGGTCATCTATCCAGGGTCATGGGTGAAGAGAAAATCACCAGCAAAACAAATGAAACAACAGGTTTGCATTATAAGCAGGGTTGGAGTCCAAATTCATGGACCTCAAAACTGAAAAATAATATGAAAATGAGTCTGGAGCTACTGAAGCTCATAGCATCCCCTGAAGATGCTCATGTCACAGTGCTCTGAAGGGGCATGCTCACAACCCAGGATGTATGGGACATCTATGGTAAATACCTACCATAGATGTAGGTATGATGGAACAGCCTGCATTTTGATTGCAGTGGTGATTATGCAAATCTATCCATGTGATAAGTTGACATAAAACTATACACATGGCCGGGCGTGGTGGCTCACGCCTGTAATCCAAGCACTTTGGAGGCCAAGGCAGGCAGATCACCTGAGGTCGGGAGTTCAAGACCAGCCCGACCAACATGGCGAAACCTCATCTTTTTTTTTAAAAAAAGAAAAAAAAAAGAAAAAACTATACACACATACCATCCTTTTTTTTTTTTTTTTTTAATTTTTAGTATAGATGGGGGTCTCACTGTCTTGCCTAGTCTGGTTCCGAACTCCTGGGCTCAAGTGATCCCCTAGCCTTGGCCTCCCAAAGTACAGAGCAAAGATTTTTCCAACTGTCAGTGGGGCAGGCCCCAGGAGGGCCTCCCAACCCAGCCCTCACTATGAGGATGGAGCAACGGAGGATGTGTGGGGAAGGGGCAGCCCCTGAGCCCCTGCAAACACAAGTTCGTCACGGTCACAATGGTTAGTTAGAATAACGTCAGCCTCAACTTCCCATTTAAAATCCACAGAGAATCCATTCAACATCATTATGAAAAGAGAGTGAAGAAAGTACCAATTTGTGGAACCGATCTATACCCTACTCGCTTTCTTTCAGTATGGCAGTGGAGTTACAGATACCTGCATATTCCTTAAGCTACATTTTGCTTTGTTTAAAGCAATTTGGGATAATGGACTAGTTCTTCCAAGAGAGTGGCAGATGACTCTAAGGAACCAGAGGTTTGCCACAAAGCAAAGGAAACCAAAGCTCAGGGCCCCTCCATGGTCTTACACCTAATTTTGTCTGTAATTTGGTGTTCTTTTTCTACAGAACCCTGAATTATAGAATCTCCAGGCCCCACCAAACCCTATCTGCCCCTTCCAAGTTGGTTTTTATTTTTCATTGGCTCTGTATTGGGGGTCCCTTGTGTCTGGGGGAAAATGTGAGCCACTCCATGGAAATGAGGAAGAAACGTCCACTCACCTTGAGCTTCTCAGTGGCATCTTCTATCCGGGTTATGTCATCAACATGCTGCTGCTTCTTGATTGCCAGCTGCTTTAAACATTCTTGGGTGAGTTTCTGTACAAGAGGGAGTTAGGAAAAAAGTCATAATACTGTCACTTCCGAATAACAGGCCCCTCACAAGGGTCATCTCCACTTACCCTTGTATTCTTTTTCAGTGGAGGCATCTGAAGGTGAGGTGACTTGCCCAAAGTCATGTGGCAAGTTGGTGGATGAGCTGGGACTAGGGCCCCTCTGATCCTTGGAGGTCTGCATCAGGTATGCCTCAAATCTTGATTTTCACCCCCTTCCCACACTTCTCTTATCTAGGACATGTCTTGCTTGTGACTTGCTTTTCCAGCCTTTCAAGTAGGACTTTAAGGCAAGCAGCTTGGGGTGTGGGAAAGAGCAGCCACTTACTATTAACTGAGCACCTACTACATGTTGGTCCTGTTCCAGGTGCTACCCTCATGAAACATACATTCCAGGGATTCTGTGGCCCTCTGGCCCTGGACTAGGTGAGAAGTCCATGGGGTTCATGCTTCCTGCTCTTCCCACCTTTCATATCTCTGCTTTTCGAAATTGCTGTTTTCCCCGAAGTCTGCTCTGCATTCCCCTTCCCCATAGGTGTGACCTCATCTCCATCTTAGACTTTCTTACAGCTGGCCTTACACTCAGCTGTTGGGCCCAGATCTGGCTGCCCCATTGACTGGGAGCTTCCTGAAGGCAGGCTCACTTCATTCCTAGTCCCCGCAGGGACCAGGGGTGACCCAGAAGTGTTCGCTGAATTGAACAGAATTATCAGGGGCTGGTCAGGCATGGTGGCTCATGTCTATAACCCCACACTTTCAGAGGCTGAGGCAGGAGGATCACTTGAGCCCAAGGAGTTCCAGACCAGCCTGGGCAACATGGTGAGACTCTGCCTCTAC